AGTCAGCCCCAGGGAGATGATTGGCCAGACCGGATTGGGGTGGGTAGGCACTGGTGCTCGCGCACTTGCTAACGAGTGCTTGCGAGTGCTCGTGCACTCGGAGTTGGGTCACTGCAACCTGTCAATCTACATAAATCAGGCCTGCGCACCGTGAAACACACATCGGCAAGAGTTGCCAAAATGCCTCCTTAGGAATGCATCACGGCGCCCTGACTTTTTATCCGGAGGATCGCATATTCCGTCGGTTGTCAGCTGTCGGAGCCATGATCTCTTTGAAACCGTACTGGCTCAACACAACGCCTAATTTGTTAGCGTAAGGATTGTTCGAACATGCCCGGTCTCTCTCCTACTGTCCTCTACCATTGAGAGAACTGCGTTAAGGCAACTGGAAATTAGATCGGGTACGAAGCCCCGATATCTCGTTTGTCAACACGTATTAGTTAATCTACTGACCTACCGGTCGTAATTCGTATGTGTACGATTTCTTTAAATTGCCACGTAAATCGTCGTCCTTGTGTAAAATGTTTTTATTCAACAGTGATGATGAGTCAACTACGGACACCTTATCAGTCGGTGGGTGTACGCCTCCAATCGGTTACGGGACTCACTTCCGGGCCTCCCCAGCAGTTGAACAGCACTTAGAGGGAAGAACATTACCAGCAAGGGCGAGAGAGACTGAAATGGCCATTTTTAGTTTACTAGCCGTCAGTTGCCAGCCGTATCGAACGCAAGGTAGTGCACCACCTAATGGGTTAGAGTTTTGGGCTTATATTCAACAGGTCACGCGTTCGAGCCTCGTGTGGTGCACCACCTGGGGTTGCGTATGGCTAGCTGATGACGGCTAGTAAGCCAGAAATGGCGGTTCCAGTCTCATTGCTTGTGTCGGTAACATCCATCTTCACACTGTCAGTTCTTGATCTACTTTACTTAGTCAGTTATTCGGACAGAACGCAAAATATTCCCTATGACTTATTGATTGTCCGGCTTGATTTCATTCGCGGATGTTGTTAACTGCAGCCCGGCAACGCCAATATGCTCTGCTAATGGATTTCCACGGATTTTGTACCATATGTATATGCGACTTCTTGAAAGACTTTATAGATTAAGTTCGGACTTCGAAGTAAACGTTCTTGTCAGAAGAAGAAGAAGAAGAAGAAGAAGAAGAAAGAGCGTTCACCAGGAGAGTTTTATTTTGTGTCTGATGTTTTGGGTAGTTGTCGCGTATACCCATATTCAGGGAATGAATACGCTGACTCCTGGTTCCCATTTTTATGCCGCTATTTTTTTTCATGTACGTGTTTTGCCGATCCCGGCTAAGCCGCTCTGAGGCGAGGGAACCAGAGTATTAATCCTCTGAAGATGGGTAGACGAGAGAACTACCCGAAACGTCAGATACAAAATAAGCCTCTCCCTGTGAACGCTCTTTCTTCTTTTTCTGACGTACCACCTGGAAATCGCATTTTCCCTACGATTACTCTAAACGTTCCTGTTTTTTTCCCAATTTCTCTGGTTTAAGTCAACAAACGTTTTCAATGTCCGCACTGTCAGAAGGCCTTCCGGGTCGGTTTCCGCCTCTCCGAACATGTGAAGATGATGCATAAAGGCGAGTTCCCCCTCCACTCTGTCCACTTTCAATCTGCACTGTTGGTCACTACAGCTTACTGTCGCCTCCTTTCTGCTTCTCATCACCAGGTGAACGGAAATACTGCTGCAGGTTTTGTAATTGCAAGTTCTTCGTGAAGTCCCACCTCACTCGCCATGTGAACACCTATCACATAAGTAAGCTGCTTGTTCCGTTTGAACGCGCGCGTGCTCTCTGTAGCACCGTCTCCCCTCTGTGTTTTTCCAAACTAACAAACTGTCGGGGTGTCATCCATTGTAGACGGCACTGCTGTTCGCTGCCCCCAATGCTCCAAAGTCTTCCGGCAAGAGGAAGATATGAAAGCGCACATGTTGAAGGAACACGCAGGTGATGATACCCACAGGAACACCTTTTTGAGTACTTTATGCCTCCGACTGACCAACATTGGCCGTGTCCGTTTTTTGAAGATTAGGAACACTTTGGACAGACTGTGGTAA